AGTAGGTTTAAGAATTAAGCTGTTTGACATTAAAACAAGTGAAGTTTATTCATCACTCCTGCACAGCGCCAGTCGCAACTACTGCACTAGGCTACGCTTTTGATACGGCGGAGAAGGGGCGACTGGATGGTTTCAGGAAGCAAAAGGACAGACAACCACTCTTAAATGTCATATAGATAACAAATGATCGAAGGAGTTCAATTGCTAAGCGCGCTATACCTTAGAATTGTGTTTCCATTAAAAACAAACCTGAGTTGTGGGATATTTAGCGATAAAGGATGCCAAAATAATGTCAAGGATGGGTCTTTGAAGCTGCACCAGCGCTAGAGCCAGGCAAGAGCTGCCCCACATCAAGTCGTTTGCTAGGTACGAACTATAAGAAGGCACGGAGAGACGAAATCGATGGCCAAGTTATGAGCGACGGTAACTGTGTGCTTTTCCACTGGTCCCAAACGTCATTAGTCATCTGAACGATGGCGGCGTCGATACTCACAGATTATATAGGGTGGCCATGTGTGACCGTGTGGTCTGGTGCTCGTTGCTATGAAGATTTAGGCCACCTGGGACATGCCGTTCGTTGTTATGGCACATATAAAGGCGTTTCGGAGATTAATTGTTCAGATATTCCGTCCTTAATGGTTGTAGCCTAACAATAGAAGACTCCCGGGACCAGAAATGGTCAATGCATGATATAATTTGTGCCTGTTCTTTTAAGTTGCTACATCCAAACAGTTTTTTTTTCACGATGGTGTTTGATGTTTAACTTATGCAAAACCTGATGAAAAGATTTGGTAAATCTTATGTGAAAATGTTGGGGTTTCCGACAACCTTCAGCGTTATCCATGTTGAAAGGGCTGGGTCCTTAGTCTTACTGATTTACAGGGGTTTGTTTCCCTCAACGCCGTCATGGCGGAGTTAAACTAAGATATCTAATAGGACTATAAAAAGTGCAAGCTATCTTTTACACGACAGATATGGGTATACCTCTTCTCTTCGACCTGTAGCAAGGGAAAACCCATAACACTTTATAAGCTTTGTGATCGTGAATTTTTCTTAGGTTAATCGATTTCGTTTCGCAAAATATTTTTTTAATTGTCGCTTTGCAGCACCAATTTCACTAACACGAAACTATGTGGCGATTTAAAGGGTCGTTTTAATGTGCATTGTCCTTCAAAATGACCGAGAAAAACATATTTCAGCTATTTATGTTGAGTTAACTTAAATTTGAGTAAATTTAAAGAAGGGCTAAAAACGCCTGCTAATGTTCCCTCACAAGAAGAAACGTATGATGAACGATGGTCCAAATGTAGGCTGCATGCAGCAGAACTGTGGAGTCGTTCCGTAACTTAGCGTTCCTTTTTACCCCCCATCCACATACAGAACAGCTGCTCCATGAAGTTTTCACTTCGTCGGATCAGACATCCTCTAAAAAAATACTGCTGTCCGAGGTTTTTGAAATTAAAGATGCCTTTTTAATACAGTTTTAAATGAAGCAGAAGGTAACACGTCACCCTGGTAGAAAGCCAGACGCCTCTGGAATTATATCATTATTACTCACAATGCTGCCGTAATTGCATCCGATTATATCCCTACGTATTTAAATTATAAAAAAAATTCGCTCAAAGGTCATCAGCCTCAACTTCTGTAAGCGAGCGCTGCCGTTTAGACGAACAATATCAAATAATTGCAGATAATACAGGGTGACCCAGCAAAAGCAGGCCCCGTGCTAACTTTTTGCTATAGTTCCTATAATAATTGACCAAATGGGTTTATTTTTCAGGACATGGCAGAAGCAACACCTGACAACTCAAAGAAACCTCACTGGAAGCTAGATCACAGAATATACTGTGGAAAACACTACTACAAGACAAGCTCGTTTAAGAAAACTCAGGAGACTTTCTTACATGAGTTTGAACGTCAGAAAGCACCCTCCAAGAGCAGGATCCAGAACTGGGTGGACCACTTTGAGACGTTTGGAACCGTTGAAAGCCTCAACGCAGCCAGTGAACGTCGTCCAAGCCACTCAGGAGGTACGAACAGGAAGCGCACAGCCGAACTTATCGAGAGTGTGAGAGAGTCAGTTCAGCAGAGTCCGAAACGCTCCTTGCGCAAACGAAGTCAGTCTCTCGGTATTTCCCGTGAAACGTGCAGGAGAGTACTTGTTAACGATATGAAGGCTTATCCATACAGGATACAGACAAAACAGACTCTCACTGTCTCAGACAAAGAGAAGAGAAAGGCTATGGCAGTGAAGATGTTGGAGAAAATGGAGGAAAGCCCAGAATTCCTGAAGTTCATCTGGACCTCCGATGAAGCTCACTTTAACCTTGAAGGAAAGGTGAATTCGAAGACAAATGTCTTTTGGGGGACCTCCAAGCCTCAAGAAGTAGCCACCACGCCTCTGCATTCCCCTAAGGTGCACGGTATATGGGCTGCAATCTCAGCAAGAGGAATCATCGGGCCAATGTTCTTCGAGGAATCTGGAGCGACAGTGACCGTCACCAAAGAACGGTATGTTGAAGTCCTCGAAGCCTTCAAGAGCGAGCTATATGCGCTCTATCCATCGCTTATGAACAGGTTCTGGTTCCAGCAAGATGGAGCAAGCTGTCACACCTCGAAGATGTCCCGAGATTGGCTGAAAAAGAACTTCGGACGTCGTGTGATCAGCCTGAAGACTGATTTTGAGTGGGCGCCCCATAGCCCAGACCTGAGTCCCCCAGACTTCTTCCTCTGGGGCTATCTCAAGGACCGGGTGTACTCAGAGAAGCCCAGGACCATCACCGACCTCAAGGAAGCCATCAGGGAGGAGATGAGAGCCATTCCTCGGTCTGTGTGCAAGGCCGTCATGGACAACTTCGTGCTGCGCCTCGAGAAATGTAACGAGCTAAATGGAGGACATCTCGAGCACATGCTCTAGATTGAACAAGGAGAGGTCGGTCGCTTTCGTGTTTTGACATGGTACTTAGAACACAATAAACCAGTTGTGTCCGAAGTTTCATTCAATTCAAACCATTACTTAAAAAATGACGCCTATCGGAAGTTGGGGCCTGCTTTTGCTGGGTCACCCTGTATATGTTTAGAATATTTACAATCCATTAACGTGGAATACAATCGCTCTGATACAGCAGTGAAAGTAAGGCCCGAATGGCGGCCATCGTCTAGCTGGCAGCCGATCGCCCCGCCCTCGACTCCGCCCACCGCCGGCGGCCCGTGCGAGCGACATGAAACGACGCCGACGCGCCGGCATCCGCAACCTTACACTAAATCGCTACGGGGGAGGGGGGGGGGGCGGTCATATCCGCCACCTTAGATTAAATCGCTACTGGGGGCCGAATGTATCCGCCACCTTAGACTAAACCACCGCCTGGGAGGGTATCCGCCACCTTAGACTAAATCGCCACAGGGCAGGGCATCCGCCACCTTAGACTAAATCACTACTGGGCAGGGCTGCGGAGTCGGAGTCGGAGTCGGAGTCGGAGTCGGTCGGAGTCGACAGTTTTGACCGGAGTCGGAGTCGGAGTCGGAGTCGATATTGGAAACCCCAGCCGGAGTCGGAGTCGGAGTTACCGAAAATCTGTCGACTCCGCAGCCCTGCCAGGTGTGCGGAGTCGGAGTTGGGAGTTGGAGTCGATCGGAGTCGACATTTCTGCCCGGAGTCGGAGTCGGAGTCGGAGTTGGTTTTTGAAAGCCGGAGTCGGAGTCGGAGTCGGAGTCGCCGTAAATCCATCGACTCCGCAGCCCTGCTACTGGGGATCAGTCAAATTCGACACCTTAGTCTGAACTCTGAATTCCCACCGGAAATACGGCATCCGCCACCTTAGTCTAAATCGCCACTGGGAAACGACATTCAGAGACTTCAAAAGCAATAAAATCCATATTTTTGTGATTGAACGTTACATACCGTAACCGGCATTTGCAAGAGGATGAGGAAGCAAAATAAAAAGGAAAAACAAAAACAGAACACAACAAAAACAAAGACGTACCTATACCAATTGGAATCCAACCAAAGAAAGTTGGGCAACACTGGGAGTGCGTTTCAAATCTGACGCCACAGAGATGTACCATCTATCCGGATCCCGGCTAAAGAAACTTCTTCACCATTGGCAAATTAAAGTATTATGATTACCTTATTATTATTATAAAGCATTTTGATTATCTAATTATCCCGCTCATCTGCCAAATACTATAACAACACATTATTCTAAACAAAAATCGCAAATAACAGAGGATAGCGTGGCTAATGACGTGCTTTTCACGAAGCTAGTGTCTCATTTTGCGTCTTTGAAATATGTACAGTCCACAGCAGAACTAATGTGGGGTTTCAGTCATGGGTATGTTCTGCTTCTGAAGCTTAGGAACGATTAGCCAGACTACAATGAAACTTTGAATGTAGCTTATATGTATCGTCACCCTTGCAGCCGCAACTTTAGCTATTGACATCTTCTTTTCGATTACTCCGCATTAAACAATCGCCAGTCAAAGCCAACCGTTGAGATTGGTAAAACCCTACATTACTTTAGTGGTGGGCTGTACATTTAAGTGGCATTTATGTGGCATGATTTCGTCTTTATGTACGCTGCATAGGGTATAATAAAGCTGGTGTTTATCACTTGATTTAAAGCGACAGTTTTACTATTTCTATTAAAAATAAAATCTGAACGGTTTGTAGGTATTGGTTATTCCCAGATGGAGGGAGCGGCGGACGGAGGGAACAGCGGGAGCAGCGGGTAGCGAGTACGCTCATGGCAAAGGCTGCCAGCCGACTGCTAGGCCGACGGATGGGGTCCCGGTCGGGGTCATGGAAAATACTAGCCCTTATTCGCAATGGTCATCTCCCTTACAAATAAACAGCAAAACTCCAGAGAAGTGGGAGCCACGGTACCTATCCTATATCCCTTCAGGTGCCAGCCAATTGGTTAGGGTAACCCATGGTGTTAGTGTGCTGAAAAGACTTGGAGTCACTGAGGCGAGAGACCCGACTGCACGGGTAAGGTACTCACGAGTTTTGCTGCGTGGTTCCCGAGGTCCGTCGACGGTGACTTTCATGCACTTGTTGTACGTCATTATCTGAGGAGGTGATGTCGAGATCTGGATGGTCAGGTTGAAGCTCTTCCCTGAAAAAGAGAACGTATTTAGTGCAAGGATTAAGTACGGCACGGACCACAGAGCGAAATATGTGTAAACAAGGAACAACATGAGCTGTTCCTGGTCCAGGTAAAATTTTTATATAAGATGTTACTCTGGTAACATTTTCCGCGTTTGATACGTTTTGAGTCGATACCCGACTACGCCACCATTAAGATCAGATAAGGTCGAATGCGGACCAATGACAGATGCCAAATGAAATAAATGAGAAGACTTGAAAACGGATAAATTTATGCCTAAATTTTATAACAAATGCTGAAATATCTATGATGTCCATTTCATAGCCCTCAGAGACCAGTGAAGTTTGATTTTAATAAGTAACACTGGCCACTGGCCAGTGAAGTCCGCTTGATAATTGCCAATGACCATTGATGTCCGTTTCATAGCATAGCCGTCAGAGACCAGTGAGGTCCGATTAATGAACGTCAGAGGCCAGAAAGGTTCGATTTATGGCCGTCAGTTGCCAGTCAGGTCCGATTTTAGCATCCCGGTTGTCCAAGGCAATGGGCCGGGGAGAGGGAAGAGACATCCGAGTAAAAACCGTCAGCAGCCGGCCGCCCGCGGACTTGACAGCCAACATGGCTGATACGGAGCCTGTGCAGGGATTCACGTGTACCGACCATGCTACCAAAGGGAAAAACGCTGCTGCAGAAATGCAGCGATGGTATAATTTTTACCTCTCTCCTGTAATCGGCTTATACAGCAGCGTCCGTGCATTTCTGAGCGTCATGCAGCTACCTGTTCCAATGTCAGCTGGAACATGGACGGCCATCACAGATATGGCCTTTCCACAGCTGCGCGGCAGCGGCAGCAGCCATTTTACTCTGCTGGGACAGTGTACACCAGGAGAAAACAGGCCTCAGACAGATCACCCTCCCTGCTCGCTAATGACAGCACGGGACTCAACAGTGAATATCTCGGTAATAAATCATCACCGCGTCTGCAAAGTCACATTGCGTACCGGTAGATCCGCCTACAGTCTAATCAAAATTCGCTAAAAATGAAAACAATCCGGACATTAGAATAGCGAATGAAATATCTTTTACAATTGATTTCACTTTTACAAGATGTGCGTTGCGATATATATGTCGGGCACAATTTTTTATTGATGTTTGACTACGGGATAGTGGCTGGGCCTGGTTTGGGTCTGCATGTATCCCGGAACCAAAACTGCAGGCGGCAGCAGGGACTGGGAGCGTGGCAGCAGCGGCAGCCCGACGCCGTGGCGCAGGCGGGTCACGTTACTAATCGTGTTTTCACCGTAAGTGGATAGGTGGCGACGGAGACTGAGACCTGTGGGAGGCCGGGCGACAGCCGCCACACGATACGGTCGCCAAACACAGCACACGAACGGCACTGACAAACACAGTTACACAGCACACGAATGAGGCGCCCCACGGCACTGACAAACACAGAAACACAGCACACGGGCGAGGTGCCCACGGCACCGACAAACACAGAAACACAGCACACGGGTGAGGTGAAACACGGCACTGACAAACACAGAAACACAGAAACACAGCACACGGGCGAGATGCCGCACGGCACGGCACCGAGGGTAGATGCAAGACTACGGTAAGACACAGACAGCACATGTGCCCCTGTGCCACTGCCGTCAGATGCTACACGACACCATGCTGCATGTCACAAACACCACACGAGCGAGGCGTCAGACAGGACCACGAAAAGACACAACGCAATACTATTGTAATCCGTAAGACACAGCACATAATCCAGATTCCAGGTGCCACACAGCACGAGCCACGGCACGCCCACCGGTACACATATAGCACGTGCCAGCCAGGAGCCCAGCGCCACAAGACACCACTGAATTAAGCCCATGGAGTACGACTTAAAGACCCGTGCACTCAGCTGCCAACTGGAGAAAACAATAAATGTTTTGCACTCATGGGCGGCGCCACCGGGGGGGACGGGGGGGACAGGTCCCCCGCTATCGAAAGTTAGGGGGGTACAGTACCCCCCTATCGGCGAGGCCCGTTCAATAGTTGATAATAATGCATTATAGAGCTATCCGGGGCATTTAATGCATCGTTGGTTAATCAAGGCAGGTTCTGAATAAAGATTGCTGTTGGGATGCATCGCAGGGGGTCCTGGCCATCTGCAAAAGGTGTGGAGCTGTGATGCCTGTAGTTATAAGGTGATCGGCAGGGCCTCGGGGATCGTGCCCCCTTTTTGGGGCGCCAGGCAGGGTTATTACTTATTACCTCCCCACCCCACTGCCAGACCCCATTGCCGATAAAACCAAGTTCACTGAAATTCCATAGATTTCCGTTACTATATGAAAATTTTCCATTCCTAATTAGTCAAATTCAAGCATGGCAGTTCTACCACAGGAACCATTTGAAATATATGCCATTTAACCCCAGCACTTGTGGGGAGAAGTGTTCGGATAGATCACAGGCAGGACCAAAAAAGCACGCAGTAGCCCAAGACCTTATAATTGGATATAGCATCGGCTCCCTCTCGTCAAGGGGTTCGATAGCACTCGTTTTTTTTTCTGCAAAACTAAGTTCGGTCGGCGGCCGAACGGCTGGGGGTCTAATCGAGCCCCCATCCCTCCCCTTCTTACGTCAGCGGCTGTGAAAATGCCATTACCAGCTGTTGAAACATGGCAGTTGCTTTTGCATGAGTGCACGAAAGGGTTTAAGGTCCGTGATACGTGAAAGGTTCTACATGAAAATTGAGATAGGTACACCAGCTTATCAAATTGTGCTCACTGTGGTGCGCTCGGTTTTACCTTGACTAGTCTTTGAATTCTGGGGTGAAACAGACCAGTCAAGAAACCTGTTCCATAAGGAGAGCCACTAATGCTAAAGAGATGTGGGATGAGGTTTCCAGAGACCATTACCTCCCAAAGGGGGTGCCCCGCCATTTGCCAATCCCTGCTGTAGTTGTTACGATTGGAGGGTGAATATGAGAACGATGCAGGTCGTGCCAGCTCGATCATGACGAACACAATGGTGCCGACATCACAGCTCTACTGCCATTTTTGACGAAGTTAATCAACAAGGACCGGAATCCTACCCTGGGGCATTTCACCGCAGAGGTCGCCGGACCTGAGACCCTTTCACTCAATTTTTTCAACGGTGCATGCGCTCGTTTTTCCCGCGAAGCTCTTGGCAAGTAAAATCCATCAGAAAGTGTGATCAAATAACGGCTGGTGACCTTCCATGACCTAGCATGGCCTTTTGAGTGACCACCGATGACATGACCACTGACGGCTAGCCATTAGCTGCACCCTGCCCGTTGCATATGGATCAGGTGGTGATGTCATGATTCTGAAATTATATTGCAGTTTTGGCGCACTTGTCAGAGCAGAAGACATTCCAACTTTTCCTCCATGACTATATGATGGTGAAGCCCTGAAGCTGACCAGACATAAGATCGAAAATTTGAAAGTACGAAACGTAAGAATAGCTGGCACTGCTACTCATACCTAAGCAATTCGCAGCTTGAAGGAAACCAGCTTTGAGTTGGCAAGACTGCAAATTTTGATTTAGAGGCAAGGATGCTTGAAAAGGTGATCGATATTAGGTGTCCTAGGATAAGTTTGGAAACGGGATGCACCATTCGATGTGTTTTGGGCCTTGCCAAGTTTCGCGGCGTTACGTGCCGCGTTTTTTTTTTTTTTTTTGCATACACGATCAGTATCTACTTTTGGGATTTTCGATTTTCGGTCCCCGTCCCCCCCTATCGAAAACCCGTGGCGCCGCCCCTGTTTGCACTCCCACGGATGCATCCATGATCCATATCCTACTTTGATTGAACGGCAGCCCCCACACTGAGAAACACATTTTAGAACTTATACTGATAGTACTCACCTGAGTACCTTCCATGGTTTCCATTTTGCCGCTTTGAGGAATTGGTCTTTCCCGAGAACTGTGCATGGTCTCCACTTCGGTTTCAGGAGTGGATTTGGTCTTGACCGAGATAGTTAAGTACTGGAAGTTGTCTAGCTACCCGTGTAACGCAAACAGTCGGTCTGCGGTGAGATTCGAACCAGCAGTCATTCGGTCAGAAAGGATGGTAAACTTCTCACTTTTTTCCTTATAGTTCTCGCAGCTGACGTGTTTTGACGACAGATGTCAGCACAGAAGGAAACTAAAGGCGTAGGTGGCGCTGTGTTAAGAGTAGAGCAGTTTGAAGTGCTGCGATTCCATTTTCGCTTAGGAAAATAGCAATTATTGATAAAAATAAAACATGTATTTTTCAATAGAAGAAATAATTTTTAATGAAAAAGAGCCTTACTATATGACACGATGTTTATCGATTTTAACAGTTCAAACCAATTTAAATGGATATCCCTAAGGAACATCTCTATAATGCCTCAGTGCTTCCGGTCCTTCCGGCCTTCCTTTCTCGAAAGCACTGCGAAGGCTGCCGGCAGCGTGGTTGTTCCTTTCGCGAGTTGGTGTCTGGCGCACAGCGCGAACGTCTCATGGTGAGTTTGTTTTCTGTATTTTTTGTGTGCACTTAACAGCTTGAAAGTAACCACAGCAAAGGTAATTACTTACTCTGGGAGGTGGCAAAATCTGTGTGCCATTGCCCATTTTTGGGATATATGTTGCGATTGCCATCTGTTTGCCAGTGTTAGCAAAATCTGCTTAAATACCAATTCGTGTGCTTTGAGGATACGGCTCAGAAATTAAGCGTTTCTGCCGTTTCTCTAATATTTGTCTTACTCTCCCTTTCAGAGCAAGAAGCCGTAGAGACGATGCTCTCAATGTTGGACACCGAAGTGAGGCAACTCATCGGGCACAACGTCAAAATGTCCCTGTTGTGTCCTGGCCCTGGGTCACGCGTGTCGCGCCTTGACAGCCGTGACCTTGAACGACCTTGACCGGCCGGGCCGGGCCGAGCGGCCGAGGGTCAGTATCGTCCGAGCGGCGCTGGTGTCAACACAGCTGAGTGCCGCGAGGTGAGGTGAGGCGTGTTCGCCGAGACGGTC